GAGGTCTCTGTTATGTATATGTGCTATCCAGGATATGGAATATAAAATTGCTCCTACCACACCACTGACACTTTTAAATGTTTTCCCCATTAATTTTAATCATAAAGCCTTGTCACATTGTTTGCTATCTCTGCAATATACTAACAGACTTCCATTACTTATTTTGGGAATAATTTTTGGAGGGACAGTTGTAGACAGACAATAATACTACAAACCCAGACATCTCATTCATTCTCAGTCATGTTTGGGGTTAAATAGAATTTATTAGGCATTAAAATGTTTAAAACACGAAAAACTCCAAAAGCAATTATGATACAGATATAACAGTTGCTCAGATACAACAAAAATCATGAAATTACTGTTACTATTAATTTTTGGAGTAATTTCCAAATACAATGATTTACTCTTACTTTGATAAAGAGATTTTAAAAGGCAAAAGGGAACAAGAACACAGGGTTCTCCTGGTGGCCCCCTTTGGATGAACCAGCTGTGGCTATCGGAGCTAACTCAGCTACTGATAGCGGCCCCTTGGCCTGTTCCACTGAGACAGGATCTCCTCTCTCAAGCGAACGGGGCATTATGGCATCCTCGGCCCGACCTATGGGCCCTGCACCTCTGGCCGCTCGACGGGAGCCTTCGTACCTCCCAGAGCGAGTCTTAAACACAATTTCGAAGCCTAGAGCTCCGTCTACGAGATGCCTCTACGCCTTAAAGTGGTCTTTTTTCTCCGCTTGGTATCTAAACCGCGGCAAAGACCACCTCACTTCTGAATTGGCAGAGGTGTTGTCATTTCTACAAGAGCTGCTGGATAAGGGACGTTCCCCATCCACGCTCAAAGTCCATTTGGCGGCTATAGCAGCCTCTCACGCCCCTATTGAGGGTCAATCGGTGGGCAGAAATAGTGCGGTCATCCGCTTCCTGAGGGGTGCTAGGAGGCTGAATCCGCCTCGTCCCCCTACCGTACCTTCATGGGACCTGCCCACTGTGTTGCGGGCTCTGAAGGGCCCTGCTTTCGAGCCGCTACAGTCTGCCAACATTAGGTCGCTATCGCTGAAGACTGCTCTGCTTCTAGCACTGCCATCAATAAAGCGAATAGGGGACCTGCAGGTGCTCTCTATTAGCCCTGCCTGCCTGGAATTTGAGCCTAACGACTCTAAAGTCGTCCTGAAACCAAGGCACGGTTACGTACCTAAGTGCTCTCCACTCCGTTCAGAGCACAGGTCATTACACTCTCCACACTTCCTCCAACTGAAGAGGACAGAGAGCTATCTCTGCTCTGCACCGTCAGAGCCTTGAGAATCCATATTGAGCATTCCGCTCCCTATAGGCGATCGGAACAACTCTTTGTCAACTTCGGTAACCGCACCAAAGGGCTTCCGGTTACGAAGCAAAGACTCTCTAGATGGATAGTAGACTCCATCTCGCTAGCGTACTCTTCTTTGGGCCTCCAATGCCCCATTGGAGTACGGGCCCACTCGACTAGAGGCATCGCCTTGTCGTGGGCATGGTCCAATGGTGTGTCCATTGCGGATATTTGGGAGTCGGCCGGCTGGGCCTCGCCGTCCACATTCGCAAGGTTTTATAACCTGGAAGTCCCGGCCTTGCAGGCCAGGGTCCTTTCCGCTTGAAGTGGCACGCGCTGCGTAAACAGATATGGCAGAGAGCCCTTGGCCGTACCACTACATTAGCACGGCGTGATTGGACTGTTCCCATATGCGTCTTAAGCAAGACGCAGTACGAGTGAAGTATCGAAAGGGAACGTACTCAGTTACTAACGTAACCTCGGTTCCCTGAGATACGGGAACGAGTACTGCGTTGCTTGCCGTGCTATATAGCTGCACGACTCAGTCGTCGCTTCAGTCGAAGTAAACCTGAGAATCCGCTTATATAGCCAGATGCCCCACCCATTCTGGCGGGCTTTGTCGCCATTTGCTCGTGCAGCTCCGCTGCCGAGCCATTGGTTAATTTTTTTTAAGCACTGCACGAACCAATGGCCGTGCAGTTTCACTGCGTGAATGAAAAGGCTTCAGTTCAGGAGAAAAAAGGCTTTTTTCCCATATGCGTCTTAAGCAAGACGCAGTACTCGTTCCCGTATCTCAGGGAACTGAGGTTACGTTAGTAACAGAGTACGTTTCACTAGGTATTTGAGTAAATGAAAACAATACTTACATTTCAGTGTGAATTCCCCCACAGAACTCTCACCCGCCTTGTTCTTTGAATATAAACACCGTTGTCATCTGCGCGCAAGTGATTCTGGGATATGGTCGGGTGCGAAGTGTCCATCAGATGTACACTTCATTTTCCTGGGAAATGGAGGGTGCATTTGACGTTACTTTCGAATTACGTCAGCCTTCATCGCGCCTTGGAATGTGGTCTTCGGAGGGTGCATTCTGAATTGGGACAGCTTACGTCGTGACGCAATCGCACTTCAAATGCACACTTCGGAGTCCACGCACTTCAGTTTGTGACAGCTTCAATGGTATGAGTGTTGGAACAATTTTGCGGGTAATATCCATGGTAACATTAAAACTTAAATTTAAAACAGTGGTTCTCAAACTTTTTACACCAAGTACCACCTCAGAAAATATTTGGCTCTCCAAGTACCAACATTAAATACAGTAGCATAGTAGGCCTAATTATTCAGCTACAGCTATGCACAGTTAAAAAATTAGGCAGTTTTATTCCTAAGAATATTGTCTGCCACTTTAAACATTGTAAATAGTTTGAACATTAACACTGCACTGTGCTTACATACAGGTAAATAAACTTGATTAAAATATACTGTACCCAAGTGAAATAAAAACTTCACTGTACTTAAAAGTAAAACATGTACAGTATTTGATCAATTAACACAGGCATCATTTAGCCACCTAGTAGACTTTTTAAAAAGCGTTTTAACAGTATTTCCCAACCTTTTTTTTTCTTCCACGTCACGGTTTTGATATGTAAAAATAAATAAATCCCACGGCACACCACTAAGCAATACCTATATATATTTTTCTAATAATTAAACATTGCGTCATCAGAGCTGGTATTTTGGCTTATCTATATATATATACAGTGGGTACGGAAAGTATTCAGACCCCCTTAAATTTTTCACTCTTTGTTATATTGCAGCCATATGGGGTGCTGTGTGTACATTAATGAGGAAAAAAAATTAACTTAAATGATTTTAGCAAATGGCTGCAATATAACAAAGAGTGAACAATTTAAGGGGGTCTGAATACTTTCCGTACCCACTGTATATATGATCAGACACTTGCACTTTCTGAAAATCATAATCAAATGAAGTTAGAGGTTTTTGACGAGCGAATGACAGATCTGTGTTTTGTCCATCTTTAGAACAGCCGCCTCTGAGGCACTAAATTAATAGCATCACGTTTTCACGAGTTTGCAGGTTATAAAGTTTATTGTAGCTATGCAGGTGATCAGTTTCTCTTGGTTAATACATTTGGCCAAAATCTCACAATATAAAATACGAACAGCTATGATATTTAAAACGTACAAAAGTGTATTGGTTACAACTAGACCGCAGATGCTAAGACTATTCTCTGCATACACACAAAAACATTAGCCTTTATTGACAGCGTTTCTTGAGTAAAGGAAACGCTGTACTTATTCAAACACCAGTTCTTTGTTTACCCTTGCATTGTGGAAAAAAAACAAAAAAAAAACAGATGTTTCACTTATTCATGAGATTTATTCGAAATGTAGAAGACCTCAAATATGGCATGCAAAAAGAAGAAATTAAATCAGCATGGTTAGATGCATGCATGGCCACAGGTGTTTGGGCAACCCTTCCGTCTGGCAGGACATTGATCATCATGGGATGAGTTCTCAGCACACATTCGATTTGAGACATGCACCAGGCATCACTGCATGGATACAGAAAGTCAGATTTAGTCTGTCCATTTGGTGGCATTCAAATCTCAGATACGCAGCACACAACTCAAAGCATGAACAAGTTTTACTTTTAAATAGAGTTGTATTCCAAGTATTAGTTTTTATTTTGAAAAGCCAGGTGCCTGAAATGGTGCTATGGGCCAAATTCAGGTACTTTCCAAGGAGAAATGAAAATACTTCAACTGTGTGTGTGTGTGTGTGGAGAGCATCAATATCACATGCCTTCATATGGAGGTGTACATTCATGTCCACATTTAGTTCTGCAGCACTTCTCATCGTCTGGACAGTCACCGTCATGGGCACACAACTCGGCACACAATCTGGCTCCAAAGAATCTCCTTGGACACACTCCTGGCTTTACGGTTATACAAACACACGACAGGGAAACCTGATCACTGAATGACTCATTCACTGTAATGGGGAAAGCTGGCCAACGCATTAGTATAACACACCTTTAGATGGAGACATACACTGATGTCAACATCCATTGCTGCAGCATTTCTCATCATTCGGACAGTTACTGTCATGGAAACATCTCAGCACAAACTCCTACTCCAAGGTTTTCACTTGGACACACTCCTGGCTTTGCAGTTATACAAACATGACAAACTTCACTGAATGCCTAAATGCATTAAAAAAAAAAAAAAAAAAAAAAAAAAAAGAAAGCCCCA